TGGGGGATATGAAATATATTAGCGGAATATATTTTATGCACCTTTATGACCTTGATGTATATTATAAAAGTGATGAGAATTTCAAAGCGAAAAGTCAATAATGTTTTCCGATCTGGTCATCAAACTAGAGACTCCATACTCGGTAATCACACTTGGAACCAATCGATTAACGGAGCAGTGAATGTTGTCTTTGAAGTAAGCTAGACATTCTTTGTTTTTGCTAGTACTTATCTCAGTATTACACGCTAGGTGGTTTTACTATTCTTAGACATTTGATCCTTTTTACCTATATTTTGTTGTACTAACGTCCTAATTGCCAATGCTTTTGTTACCTAATAGTAATTTGCTATGACAAAAAGAGGAATGAAAACGTGATATTGACAACAAGAACAACACATATTACTTAAATCTCTATCAATATTAAGAATTTTCAAATATTCTCAGGTAAATTAAAGTATGTTATAATCTAATAATAAATATTAAGTAGTAGGTAGTATCTATTTTGATGCTAATGATACTGTTACTGGTATCGTGTTCATTAACCTTTCTTAGATACTAGTGAAAATTCTAAGAAATTCAATACTACTTTGTTCGTGTGGAGGTTAAATGCAAAATGTTCAGTGCAGGACTTATGGTCCAACCAATGACGACAGTATACAGCTGTGTTGTGTCGAAGGTCCATATTATTCCCTTTCGACACCATCCTTGTAACTCCTTTCTTTATCTTATCCTTACAGTATTCTGATAACAAAATATATGTTACAACTGTTATCGGTATTATAAAGTAAACCATTTAAATTATGTAAACTTTTCAAACAAATCGTACACAATCTAGGAACACAGAAATATATCTTTATGTTTTCAGCCTTTGGCTTTGATCTCATATTTTAACTATATTGTTTGAATTCTAAATACCTAATTGCTACTTAATAAAGTTCAGAATATAATTGTTAACTTTTTAGATAATGTCATGAACAGTTCATTAATAATCATTTATTTCAAATTGTTAATCATTGTACTGGTAAGCAATTTTACCTCACTATTTTTAATATTAAGATGCACAGAATATCAGTCAATTTTATCAGCGATAATAGATCAGATTCGTTCTCAAAATAAAAATAGCAATAAACATCAGCTGGTTATATTAAAAACAGTGGTGACCTCACAATACAACCGATAGCCACTCCACCCATAATACTTCGAGACTATGGGATATGTTACAGGTAAACAAAAAATCGGTTTCCTATTTATAAGAAAAATAGATACTCTCGACCGTTCGGCCGATCGTAAAATTGATCGGCACAAACAATTTTCATCGTTACGCCGACGTGCGCATTCATCAAAAAACATAATTACCTAGCGTGGGTAAGGAGATACCCCTACGGCGAATATAAGCGAAAACGATTGATCATTATTCATTCCTTCAGCTGACAGATTGTGATGTGAAACACTTCGGTGTAATAACTTTAACACGCTTCGGCGTCTCCTTGATAGATGTTTTTTGAAATAACGAAACGTTAACATGTGTTTTTTTTAGATTTGAATACAAGTGTAATTACGTCATCGCGTAAGCTTTTGTCTCAGATCGTGATGAATGATATTCATGTTGTGACAGTTGCGAACAAACACATACGTACGCATTTTATGAATTTACGCAGGCATCGTAAAGTGCTCGTTTACAAGAGGTATTGTTTTTAGAGCAATCGTAAATTATTACAATATTACCTACACCTTTTAAAACAGTTGAAAAGGAGATGTTTATAAATGAAATATTAATGTAGGACATTAGTCGTCTGTTGAAACTCTTTGAATAGATGATAACATACAAGATGTTTTTGATGGACGCAACTTATTATGTTTTCTTAGAAAATTACAAATGTGCCTACATACATAGATAGCTCATAGTAAGTGCTTCAAAGGCTTTACTGACTTCAAAGGTTCTACTGACAGATGAACTAACCTTTAGACAAAAAACGTACAGTTTTGTTTTGTATTGTCTGCTTAATTTTTAAAACCCATAATAACTATTTGAATTAAATGAAATCGGTACATAAGATATAGTACATAACACAGTTTTGAGAAAAAAAAATCCGTTTTCAGGGTGTTCAATTGACGACTAAATCTAAAGCACCTAATGTAAGCAATGTCATTGGCAAAAGATAATGCCTATAATAACTACAATATAGATAATATTTTACTTGCTTCTCATTTTCATAACTAATTAAGAAATTAACCCTTTTCTCCAGTTATGTAATAATTCCACATCAACTGTTTAAATTGTTTAAACCTAATATACAATTACAACCGCCACTTACTGCGTTAAAACCTGCAATTTTAACGCCTAAAGAAGACTACTACGGTCGGTTCAGTGACTAGCAAGTTGACGCTCGATCTCACCACATTACCAACTTTAACCACATTATGATATTATCAGAACGGTGATATCACCCCTAAGGTCCCTGTAAGGGGAACACAACCCATTTTAAGTTGTCTACCACGGACCCTAAGTCCCAGTAAAGATAGGGTCGACACATTTACACAATGCTTAAGACGTTGTTTCACGAATTAGTTAAACACCTACGATTACAGATGTAAAGAAAAGGAAACATTAAAAAAAGGCGGACGTAATGCCATTTACAAATGATTAAAGCACCAAAATGTCAGTGGTGTATTTATGTGAGCGTGTACTTGCAACACTGTAATGTATGAAGTGTAATGATGGGCCATGCCACGCGACAGATGTCCTTCGTGTCAATGTGTGTGTATTATGCGTGTAACCCTATAGTAGCCAGGCGCCACAATCGTTGTTTCAAGAGACTATGTCCGCCTTTTTATCAACGTCCTTGTATACAGAGTAAAAAGTGGAGAATGTAATATATGGAAATTACATATATTATTCTTTGTAAAACCTAAAAATCTGCGACATATTAGCTTCACTAAAACTTATCTTAAATACGAAAATAAAAAAAACATAATCTCAAAACTTTTATCTCGATGAGAAAGCCCGCCCTCGGCTCCTATCAAAATTAATAACAAACTATTAATTTATCTCACGTCAACCATTAAGAGTCAGCTAAGTGACAAAAGAAAAACACGGATGCCGGCAAGGCATCTGTCTTTTCATAGTCAACTTAACTAAAAGGATTAAAATGATATCTTCCGTCGTCTGACAGCCAGTGTGGTCTGCCAAGCGTTAACAGAAAACCTCTTTTGTTAGAGAATTTCGTTACCTTAAGCTTTTAATACCTTTATGCCATTGCTTTTTAATTTTAGCATTTCATAAAAGGGTTGATTTTAATCCCGATTACGTGTACTTTGTAAACGTTTCGGGAGTCTTTTGTTAGATTTTTAGTTTCTGTTCTTATTGTGGTAAGTTAATTTCAATTTCTTTGAGAAATAGAAAAGTATTTTTTAGTTATAATAGAATTAAAAAGGTTATGTGGATCTTTCGAATCCTATTAAATAAAATGATTTCTTATTTTTTGTTCAAGTTTATAAACTTATTTTAGTTGAGGTCTTACAGATTAAAGTTTCATTTCCGTTTAACACACAAAGGTATGACCATGACGATACATCTACAAAATAGTTATCTATTACATAGTAAATATCATTTAAAAGACTCTATACCTAGTCACTTTAAAGTTATTTTTAAATATTCATTAAACCCTAAAAATAAGAACTCAGTAAATTAATCAGGCGGCCTGTAAACCACAACATCCTAAAACTAGGCTTCCTCAGGTATCTTATAATTTCTGGGAAGTCTTAATAGGGTATTAAATCGATCGCTTCGTGGCATGCGAATTATTCCATAACTTAGAAGGTTTCGGCGACTAACGCACCGAATTTCTCACAGTGACCGGAATTTCAGATTAAAAATTGAGGTGCAAAATTGTTAAGCTTTATTAAGGTCAAAAGTGCCTTTAAATATTTGAAACAGGCTACAATGCTCCGTCCATCATTATTGTTTTAACTCTATTTATTACATGATTATTACTATACTTACCTGATCCATATTTACGAATTCGCACACCAATAACAAATCACAGTAGGTATGATAAATATAAAATCCAGTTCAACTTCCTAAAGCAGCTGATGCCAGGTTTCATTCAAAGTTTGCGGTTTGGGAGACGCACAGTCGATCGCTTAAAGCTCCGAAAAAAATAATTTATTGTAATAAGTCGTCGTGAACATTCGCCACCGCTCGGCTCATCTCGCCCCGCTCCACACCCCTCCCCCGAACGTATACTCGACTCGACTGCAATGGCTCGACAAAATTCAGTCGACTGGTAGCAGCGTCTGGGCACGGTCGCGCCACATGACGCTCTGATCGGACTTACGTTACAGTGAAAACACGCTTATCACTTACGATACAAAATTTTGTTACGGACTTTGTTATAGAAAACCAGTTAAATAGCATTCAGAAAATAATTTGAATACAACTACAGTGAATATTGGACGTTTCGTAAATACTGATGTGGACAGTTTATGTGAAATTTTGTTTACGTTTCGAAGAACGCTAAAACACCGGATTGTGAATTGATATTGACGCAACATGAGCATTATCTCAACAAGGACTATTTGTTAAATTGAAGCCGAAATAGTGTTCATAAATTGATGGATACTACACATCCGGCAAGGGGACGCAATACGCGAACGCCGACGGAAAAAACATGACACTGAGCCTATCGTGTCTTGTTTTCTTTCTTCCCTGATATTTGATTTTCCCCATGATGGCTCAACTGCAAACCTTTTCAAGAAAACGTCTTTGCCAAATTTTGTTTTGGTTCGTCATTGGACTGAATGTGGCTGATCAAAGCTCACTGCCATTAAAATATGAAGCACCTGATGACTGCCAGTGGTGGCTGAGAGGTCCCAACGATGCACACGAGGTTTCCCTCACGTGTAAACTCCGCACAATAAACAGTGAATTCGACACCACCAACTTCAGTGTGATACCTTCAGAACATACAACATCGTTAAGAATAGAGTGTAATGAAGAAATGATGTACAAAAGCTCTCTTGATGATCGAAGTTTCGCACATCTAGTGAAACTACGTGAACTTGTTTTAGATAACTGTAAAATTGGAAGATGGCCGCCTGGCGTACTCTCCGGCTTGAGAGACCTCCGAAATTTAACGATTCGAACGAAAAACACGGAGTGGGCCGCTATGAGTTTAGAGATAGCATCAGAAAGCTTTACGGCTGTTCGACAGTTGGAAAAGTTGGATCTCAGTTTTAATAACATCTGGTCGTTTCCCGAAAACTTGTTTTGCCCGTTAACTAATTTAGTGTATTTGAATGTATCTTCAAACCGTCTACAAGATGTGAGTGATTTGGGATTCAGAGAGCGTGCAATGCATCAAGCACTGATTAGTGAACAGGATGGGCCTCCTCCCTCGGCGCCTTCTATGTCACATGCAACCTGCTCATTAGATATTGAAGTACTAGACGCTTCAAGCAATCACTTTGTGCTAATGCCAGAAAACGGATTTATGGCTCTACGTAGACTCAAAGAACTGCACATTCACGATAACGAAATATCAATGGTGGCTGACAAAGCGTTATCTGGATTGAAACAGCTGCAGATAATTGATCTTTCAAACAACAAAATAGTCGCTCTTCCGCAAGATCTGTTTAAAGATAGTAGACCGGTCATCAAAGAAATATACTTACAAAACAATTCTATAAGTGTGCTTTCACCAAGTCTGTTCGCCAACCTAGATCAACTATTAGCGTTGGATTTATCTAATAATCATTTAACAAGTACTTGGATTAATGAGAATACTTTCACCGGTCTCATAAGAATGGTGTTGTTGAATTTATCTAATAACAGATTAACTAAACTGGATCCCAAAATTTTCAAAGATTTATACACTTTACAAATTCTGAACGTTCAGCATAACATGCTGGAGAGTATTGCAGCTGACACGTTTGCACCAATGAACAATCTACATACGTTGATATTATCTTACAACAAGATCTCTCACATCGATGCTTATGCCTTAAATGGTCTGTATGTGCTGTCATTACTATCTATTGATAATAATCATCTCGAAGAACTCCACCCTGAAGCATTCAGAAATACATCCTCCCTACAAGATTTGAATTTAAATGGCAATCGTTTAAAGAAAGTGCCTATAGCATTGAGAAATATGCGATTACTAAGAACTCTTGATCTGGGAGAGAATCAGATAACGTCATTGGAAGAACCCGGCTTCGTTGGTTTGCATAACGTGTATGGCCTTCGTCTTATCGGGAATAAAATTGAAAACATAAGTAAAGACGTGTTTACAGATTTACCGTCCCTGCAAATTTTAAATCTTGCACGTAATAAATTGAAGCACATCGATACGAATGCATTTGAAACACTATCCACTCTACAGGCTATCCGGTTAGATGCTAACCAACTAACGAATATTCAAGGCCTATTTGTAAATATTCCATCGCTTTTGTGGTTAAACGTATCAGACAACCAAATAGAATGGTTTGATTACACTGTGATTCCTTCGGGACTTCAGTGGTTGGATCTTCACAGTAATAATATCAAGGAACTGGGAAACAATTACCGTATGGATAAGGAACTGCGATTGCAAACACTAGACGCAAGTTTCAATAAAATGACAAAAATATCAGCATTCTCAATTCCCAGCAGTGTGGAGTTGCTGTTTCTGAATGATAATCAAATTACACAAGTTGAAGCCCAAACTTTTGTTGGAAAAACCAATTTAACGAGAGTCGATTTGTATGCAAATCAGATAACTAGTATGGATCTCAATGCGCTTCGTCTAACTCCGGTCGATCCGGGACGACCGCTACCCGAATTTTATATCGGTGGAAACCCGTTTCAGTGCGATTGTACTATGGAGTGGCTTCAACGCATAAACAAACTGGACCATCTTAGACAACATCCACGTGTCATGGACTTGGAGAGCATTTACTGCAAATTGTTATATAATCGTGAAAGGACTTATATTCCGCTTATCGAGGCGGAATCATCTCAGTTTTTGTGTACATATAAAACTCACTGTTTTACGCTGTGCCATTGTTGTGATTTTGACGCTTGTGATTGTGAAATGACGTGCCCATCGAACTGTACGTGTTATCATGACCAACCGTGGTCAGCAAATATTGTGGACTGTTCTGCTGCTGGGTATTCGGAAATACCTAGCAGTATACCTATGGACGCTACTGAACTATATTTAGACGGTAATAATTTTGGTGGTTTAACAAGTCATGCATTTATTGGACGTAAGAACTTAAAAATATTATATGCTAATAATTCTAATATTGACGCTCTGTATAATAATACGTTTAGTGGACTAAAACGCTTAACAATATTGCATTTAGAAAAGAACAATATAAAAGAGTTGCTAGGTTTCGAACTGTCGCCTCTGGAGAATTTGCGCGAGTTGCATCTACAAGACAATAAAATACATTACATCGATAATCGTACCTTCATGGAGTTGAGGCATTTAGAAGTGTTGCGCTTAGAAGGCAATAACATTTACGGCTTTGCAGTGTGGCAGTTCACGATGAATCCATATTTGGTTGAGATAAGTCTCTCGCGGAACCTTTGGTCGTGCGATTGTCAATACATGCATAAATTTCGCACTTGGTTCAAAAATAACCTGGGAAAAGTGGAAGATGCTTTAAAAATAACGTGTGTATTTGACAACGTAACGAACGCTGTGGGACCATTGATGGCAGATTTCAACTCGACAATATGCACAAGTCACGTAGGGGGAAGCTCATCTATAATCGAGAATCAAGTAATTAATGATTATCTCCCTCTTCTGCTAATATCTCTGTGCGTGTTCATTATAAGCTCGGCATTAATATGCGGCGTATTTTATTGGCGACGCGAGCTGCGAGTCTGGATTTACTATCATTGTGGATTTAGAATGTGCTACAAAAGTACAGCCTTCGATGATGAAGCCGATAAAGATCGCCTTTTTGACGCCTACATAAGTTATAGCGTCAAAGATGAGGCGTTCGTTGCTCAAATGTTGGCGCCTGGACTAGAATCCACCGACCCAAGTTTCCGGCTCTGTCTACATTACCGAGATTTTAATGCCTCAGCATATGTAGCCGATACAATAATAGAGGCCGTAGAGTCATCCAAAAGAACGATAATAGTCCTATCAAAAAATTTCATTAACAACGAATGGTGTCGTTTCGAATTTAAAACGGCACTCCATGAAGTACTGAAAGAGAGACGAAGAAGACTGATAATAATATTGCTAGGCGAGCTTCCGAATAGAGACATCGATCCGGAGCTCAGGTTGTGTTTGAAAGCGAACACCTGTATAGAGTGGGGTGATAGACAATTTTGGCAAAAGTTAAGGTTCGCGATGCCGGACTTACGGAAGTGTCAGTATCACCGGTCGACAGTGAATATTTACGCTTCGGTGTCTCCGGTGGGGGCCGGGCGGGCACCAGCGCCGCCCCCTCCGCCGCCGCCGGGCAAGCTCCCCCCTCTGCTCGGCGACGGGCTGGCCCTGCCGACCAGCGTGCACACGCGCGACGTGCACCCCCACCGCATGCCGCCGCAAGCGCAGCTCTGGGCGTAGCGTATGCTCCAACGCAGGTAAACAGACACTGACATTACTTGCAACGCTTAAGCGTATTAGTCCAATAAAATGGTGATAATTAATTTTAGGTTGTTCCACATTATATTTATTGTATAGAATAAGATTTACAAAGCCTGACACGACGTGCATTTATTTGTATAGATTAGGTCGCTGGTTTTATTTTTATTGTTACGGAATATTTTCCTGATTTCTGCGATAGTAATTTATAGACTACGGAAAATCCGATGTAAATGTTAATATTTGTTAAAAATATTTCACTGAGTATAAATTATTATTCGGATCGCTTAAAATATTATATAATGCCAAAGTTTAAAACTTATAGCTATGTACAGATGCATTTATTAACTATAGTTTTTTTTTTAGATCAACATTGTCAATAATGAGTCTGTAAATATTATGATTTTGTAAATACAACTGTAAATATGCAAAACAATTATTATATAAAAAAACGAAAACAAGAAATACACATTTTTAAAATTTTATTTCCTTTTGTTTCATTTATATGTTCCTTATGTTTTATTTTTTGTTGGTTCATTAGGTGATAAATAAACTGAAGTAGGCTGTTGTAGGTTCCGGTCACACGCAAAATTAAATCAAGACCAAACATTCAAAGAACGACAAAGTTCTAACACACCCACTTGCAAACTTTAAAGTACTCATCGGCATGTTAAAATGGAAGTAGGTTTGAACACTAACTCAGGCAATATGCAAACATATTGAAAATTGAAAGTGACTCTAGCAAAGTTTAGCGCGAGTAAATGGTACCCCAAGTTCTATACTTAGCATTATACATATACATACTTCATTGGAGTTCAATACATTCATGAATAGGTTCGACTACTTAACATAAAGTTCGCTCAATTTAAGTTTATGTTCTCTACATGATTTTCAATAATATGAAGTTAAAAAGACTTACTTTGCCTGTTCAGAAGTTTTACCAATACTAGGTATCGAGCATTCTAATATTAAAGTGAGAAGAACCAAGTTCACACAAATAAATTACACATACACAGACACACATAACTTTAGGAAAGATATTCAAAATACTTTGACAATTGTTACTGAAAAGGCAAAGGTAGCCTTCGATGAGAATAAAAATGGAACTTATTATATTGAAATACAAAAAGGTCTCAGATATAAATAGCTATACTTCCTAACCCCTCAAAGTTATTCAATAAAAATGTCTTGTTTCCCATCTTAAAAATCCTACTCAAAGAAAAAATACGACGAAAGAACTTGTCTTAAAAAGAGATAGGAATTATTTTAGAACTCCCTACCTTAACTAATTCAATTTGACTTTCAACTTGAGCAAAAAGGGAATAAGAAAGTTAGGGATGTCGAATTTATCGGACCAAATAAGTGATGTTAAAAAAAAAAAAAAAAGAAATAATATATGTACGTAATAAAGTACCTAATTGATGAATGAGGGACATTGTTCTTGTTCTATTTATTGCAAAATTTACCTTAGAATATAAAGTATATTCTGTGAAAACCCTTAATACTTCAGAAGTTAGATTGTTAACCAGAGGTAGGTACTACGCTAGGTAGATCTCATTTCTCAAAATTAGTTTATTAAAATTACCGATTTCAAGCAACATATTTTTTGTGAAGTACGTAGGATTTGGATTAATTTGTATGAATTATACATTAAGTGTAGTAATAGGGTGAAGTTTTTGAGACTGGCACGATCAAATAGAAAGAAAAAAAGTCTTGTTTGACGATATTAAATAACTTAACTCAGTCACCAAATCGTAAAATTATATTTCCAATTGTCCTTCAGAATGTCAGCAAATAGCTATTAATATCAACTGACTGTAGAATCTAAATATAGCGATAATTCAGTAACAGTGATAAATTATTCGCCTTGAGGCATAGCAGAAAATCGTTTATCCATTTAGCTCAACTGCCTACTACTTCATTCTATAAAATTAGGTTATTGAGAATAGAGATTCTGGAATTATTGATTTGATTTTGTTCTTATTTGGGTCTATTTTCAATTTATATCAAGTATTTATAGGTACTCTCATGGAGATTAGTTCATGTTAAAGAGGTTAGCTACATTAATTAGTCAATGCAAAGTAAGTAACAAATAATTTACATATTAAGACTGCCCATATTTTGTAATATAAAAACAAACTTCAAGCTAGTTCTTGTCGATTATTCCTTTAACAAATTCACATCTCTATGACCCATGCAATCTCCATAAATTGCCGTCGTCATCATCGTATAGTAAAAGTAGCAATTCGCCCTTTGACTCCTCAGACCATTCTCTTCCCATTATGAACATACACGCCGCGATAAATTCCCATATTTCCCACCCCACGATGCCAAATGATATTTCCCCTGCTACTACTAACGGCATCTAGCCGTCAACTCATGAAACTCCTATTATCTGTTTGCGGACGAATCAAATCGAAATCAACATCAGTTATTTTTGTCGTTGGACCCTTATCAAAGATAGTAGACGGGTCAGTTTTGTAAGACGTTGAAGATTTATAAGAATACAAAGTTTTTATGAAAGCTATGCGTAGGTCTCATCTAGACATTAGACATTATTTATTTGAAGACTTTGCAATAAGGGAAAATATCTTTGAGTCAATTAAAGCAATGAACAAACGTGTTCATCGAAAATATTTTCAGCATATTTTTGCCGTCACAATAACAAAGGAAACTGGCTGATCTCGAACTTGTTACTTTCTTTAATTTATGTCTATTTGTCACTTATTTAGCGATATTTTATTGGCCGTCAGTAGAAGTAATCCTCCCTTTCCGACGTAATATCTGTCTCTTTGCGTCAACGAAATCTGGTGTCGCTCCTCGCTGTAGAAGTTATGGGGAAACTTGTTTGCTACTGTGGCCAATGTGCCGAGCAAATTTATGAGACGTAGAAGTCTTTATGACAACTTTATGTGGACTAACCTTTTGTGGAGGGTCACGATTGTTGATATTTGTTCGATTATTTTCAGATTAATTTGTATAAGGAGGTGATTTAAAATCTAGTATTCAATTTAATAGCATTGAAAACACATTATGTTAGATCGTTTTAGCATAATGCGATAACGACACCTATTTATTAAAAAATATGTTGAAATAGTTTCTAATTGCCATCCTACTGGTTTTAACGGACTTTTTGGCAATACAAAAATGTATAGGTTTTTAATTGGAGGATGTTCGCTTCTCTTTTCTATTTCGTGCACAAAAGATACTTTTAGGTATCACTTAATACATTTCACTTCATAATAAACAAACAAACTCCGGAAACCCGGACCAAAACAAATTGATGCGAATGCTAAACTAAACGCGTTATCAGATTCTACAACAACATTTCAGAGGGTTCCCCTACCGGACAAAGGCGTCAATATACGTTTAAAACTTTAAACTAAACAATAAACGTGTGTATAATAATAATTTAATCCAATATTTTGGAAGTAGTGCCGGACAGAGCTACCATAATGGAATTAGTTTTGTAATTAACTTAGTTTATCGTTAAAAGGGAATGCTCAGTACTATCTATACTGAAAATTCAAGTCCCATACATTTGTATGTTGAAATGGAAATTACGGAACCACGAGTATTTACTAAAGTTAGGAGGGACGAAGGTTTAATCTGTTTGTGGTACTATTAGACATAAATACAGAGAAACATTATATGTATTAAGGGATGGTTCTCCCGCCTAAATGGGGACCATGTAAACAGTTCGTTTTATAAATTCATGTTAGATTTTGTGTTGAAAATGTAATTTTAAATGTAGTTACCCAGCCCTGGTAACTCTGGTTTCTACATAGTTGTTTTAATATTAAACACCGGAATTCCATAAACTGTCATGAGTTTAAACCGATACCAACTGACATATTTAGAATGGTTTAAATGTGATTTAATGTGTAATTCGGAATGGTGTCGGTTTGTTAAAATATTTTTCATACTAAATTGGAAATTACTTTTATTTACTGAAATGTACTCTTCATTTATAAAAACGTGAAAAACTGCACAATCATAGGCGTCTGTCCGTTACGCACGCAATGGAATAAAAAAAAGAACCAGTAGGTGCAATATAGTTTATTCATTAATCACTTTGAAAAACACTGCATTAAACACACAGACTATGTCTAGAAATTTCAAAAATGTAGGTATCTAATGTCAACATTCTCAACATAATATCTGCTACGTGCTTGTCGTCAGGTGTTATCAAAATTCTGAAACAAAAATAAAAGAACATTATTAAATTAATAAAAACACACTTAACCGCATTACACATTAACCACATTATAAACATATTATTCAAAGAACTCATATTCACTACAAGTTAGATCTCTAAAAATAACCTGACCTTTAAACAAGTAATAAGGTAAAACACAGTATGTAATTGCTTCATACCAATAAATAAAAAGAAATAAAATCAATCTTCTAACGCAATTTATAAACAAATACTAAGAAAAGATTTTAAATGGTTTACGGAATACGACCGTGAAATAGAGAAAGACAAAACATAACGAAAATAGAACATTAGAAAGAAACAAACAATAGAATTGCTATTCTTTTATTTATTTTATTTATTTATTTATTAGGTTAACCAACAGTTATTTACACTCATACATTCATTACATCATTACAAATAATACTTTGGTAAGTGTAACAACTACTTACTGGCTAACACAACATGCACATAAAACGGTTAGAATAAGTTACATTAAAAAAAATTATAACATTCGAACACGATCAAGCAACATAACATAAAAGTTGCGATCGATTAATTCAATTAATTATGGGATTAAATCTTTCTTAATTGGGGGCGAATGGGTTTGAGACGTGATTAATTATTTATCTTAAAGGGCGATCTTGTGCCGTTTACCTTGCCTTTATTGAAGTTAAAATCTAGTTCAGATATCAGTCGGCCATTTTTTATCTCTGATCTGAGGATCTGGGGATCTGAGTAAAAAGAAAGATTTGGTTTGCTTCATTTATATACTTATAAAGATTTT